CCCCCCCACACACACACCTTTTCAAACTAACCCCCGTTACATTAGAGCATTTCACAATTGTTTTATGTTTTTTAGCAAAAGACAGGTCCATTTTTTTTAGCCTCGCTCCGCTCGGCGTAGGATTATATTCTACGACCCCTATTTCAAATAACCTAGAAACGCCCCTGATATATATAGGAAGCACGGGCTAGGTTCGCTCTTTTGAGTTCATTGCTCACCACCAGATCTATACATGTTAATTTTTCTTATATATAGTAAAAGGTTGTTTTTTTGATAAACACATTGAAATCCAATTTGGTGTAGATGTCTGTAGGCCAGTGTGGGTAGAATGTGTTTGGTTGTGGATTTTAATAAACGAATGAGTAACGAGCTATAATCCCATTTATGTTCTTGTGTTATCGTTTGAATTTAATTGATTTATATTCGGACGAATATAATGAGGGAACATATAATTTCAAGTTGTATTCCAACTTTAATTGTACCTGGAGATTATGTACCATTAACTAATCTACATTATATGACCACAAAACCTACCAATCGAACAGGTAAACGGTGGGATTGGCTATAGGTATACAAAGGAACGTTTATACATGTACAGGTATACACTTCCTTCTCAAAGTCAATAGGTAAGTGGCCATTTCAAAAAAGAACTGGAATAATAGAATATCTCACCTGTGAGTTTACAATTGTAGACATAATCGACGGAGAGTAATTATACACAGCGCAATGCCAACCTTGTATCACAGGGTCCTGAGAACCAGTAACAGTTTGATCGGGGATTTAGTTTGGCTTGTTTCTGTTTTACGTCCTATTAACAGCTATGGTTATTTAAGGAGGCTCCACCCTTTCGCAATTAACCAGCAGAGGGATAAAATGAGTACAATGACAGTTTTCTTTACTGTACCGAAAACGACGGAAATAAATTAAATTATGATATTAAAATTGTCAATTAACTTTTCTTTAAGTATGAAACAGAATTACTCTCGGTCATATACGCTTTGGACATCATGTTTACATGTCAGGTACATAATATGTAGCCATAGGCTATCGCATAGTATGCCGTTATCGCTTGCACGCACATGCACTTGCATTTTATAGGGATTTTTATATTTTACAAAACTGCATTTGAGACAAGATTAACCTGACAGAGCGTAACTCGCCCGACAACAAAAATCGTAGCGACCCGAGCTTGAGAACTACAGTCGTAGCACGTGCTATGTACAGGTGAGGTCCGTTAACAAAACACATCAGTCTGCATTACATACGCCTCATATACGACCTCCTTGAAGTCGTCTGATCGTATGTCAGTGTCTTCCCGTATGTTAATTTATGTCTTTGTATCATACGCTTTATTTCAGAAGAACGTGTGAATCGGGTGTTGACAAATCATCGTCAAGCACGTGTACTAATGTTTACCCGGTGTTATTATAATTTACGTTATAGGACCATTGAAGGACCAACGCGCTACCCACAGCGCCATCAGATCAAATATAAATAGCAATGCTAACGAAGTGATGATCTAAAGCCTTAACCGCCAAATAGTACTCCTTTCACATAAAGAATCAGTGGCGGATCCAGAGGGTTTTTTGGGCTTCAGGAACCCCGACCCCACCCCGAGAATTTTCTTTAAAAATCATGTATTTCACTATTTTCCTCAANCCCCCCCTAGATAGGTCTCTCTTGATCCGCCACTAGGAATGGCCAAAACATACATCGTTCGGTTTGTTCTCATAACCCTGTGGTATCATACACTAATCCGTGTGAAAAGCTCGTTCATAATTACAGAAAATAGCACAAGTTCATTTAAATGAACCGGTGTTTTTTTTAAGTAATTCAAAATAACACTGTACAAAATGATAACGAGTGAATCATACATGTTCTTCCTCATCTATTGTCTGCTTAGCGGCATATTTTTTTTTTTTTTTTTTTTTTTTTAATTAAATACAAATTCTATTTAAGTTCATCATTTGTCTACAAATTATTACAAATAAAGAAAAATCTGGGTTGCCTTATTTTCACTTATTGATTCCATACTAAAAATAGACGTGGATGCTACTTTCATTGAAAAATTTAGTGATTTTGAAAGTTTACAGTTGTAAACTGTTGTTGTTCAATAAATTGTTGTTCAATTATCATAAAGCTGACAATGCTTTAATGAATAAAGTTTAAAAATAATGCTATAGATATTAGGTTGCCTAATGTCAAAGTTGACATTTCAATAGGTTAAATTAACAGTAGAAGGCATTAACGGGAAACCAAATTAAACAGGTATATTCATTGTTGTAAAATGATAACAGATTTGGGGAACATAGAGGAGTGTAATCACAGTCTGACGCTTCTTTCTATTTCCGTGTGTAACTATACATCTGGCATTAAGGCCATGCAAATAAATAGTAGTATTTTGTTTCCGGTCTTCACAAAGCAAGATATTTCGATAGACAGCTGGGATTCCTTTATAAACAATGCACGTGTCAAATGTGTCGCAACCTTT